GTAGTTTTCACAGGCGGCATGTTCTCTTTCATTTTGTACATTGGTATCAAGATACTCTGTCTCTAAGATTCGGCATTTTCTCACATTCATAATTTAGTTGAGAAGAGGGCAAAGTCGGACCACGCCTTCTTGCTCCAATTTTTTTCCATAATTCTATGGGAACTCTGTCTAGGCCGAGGGCCCTTTTAATCTTCATTCTGCTCAAAGTCTGTTCCACTTTCTTCAGTGAGATTATTCCAACTAGGTTCTGATTTTGTGGCATCTCTTCCGCAACCTTTCCGGGATGTTCTTCGTTTAGTAGCGTTTAGAAGTGCGTTAGCCATCGGCTTTTTAATCTGTCAGCACCATTCCGTTTTCGTCTTCTATGCACTTTACTTTATCGACGTGACTTGATTTTCTTTTTCTGACTTTTGCTATGCGATAGCTGTCTTTTTCTTCTTCCTTTATTGCCAGTTTTTCGTATACGCTCTTGCACGCTGTAGGCTTTGTCTCGGCAACGACTTTCTTTGCATCCCTCTTTGATGTGGCATATTTTGCTGTCTTCCACGCTGTTCGATTGCTGCCATTTCTTGAGGAGCTCCTTCCATCGTAGGGTCGCATTTCACCACCACGTGTCTTTCTGGATATTTGTTGTGCCTTTTGTTTCTCCGACTAAGCCTCTGGCATTCCCTATGATTGTATTGGTCATCCGCTACCATACTTCGTCCATGTTTCTGTTACAGTCTTCATTTTTCTTGTAACTTTCATTTTCAACACGCTTCTTTCAACTTCCTTTCGAGCTTCCACTACCGTGTCAACGGGGTGATCACCCTGTCCTCCGTTTAAATGGGCTGTTTCAGAAAGAGGTCTAGAAACAATAACTGGTGCTATCTTTGACAGTTTCCCTGGGATCGGGCTTGCAATCTCTGACGTTTTTAACTTCATTCCTTCGCAGTAGGAAGTAGCCGATCTGACTTTTTTTCTGCCCGCTCATGTAGGTTAGCAGGTGGTTTTCATTCTTCTAGAAGAACGTGTTCATCAGAGCCAGATCATATGCAACTGCCACCTACAAGATGTTCTCTCATTCTTTATTTGGCATACCATGTCCATTTTAGCCATGGATCCTGTCGTAACCCTTTCGATGTTTCTCGACAAGCTAATTAAGGTCACCCCCCGTTATCACTTTTTCGTTTCTCGGTCTGTTTTGCAGTGCAACATTCAGGCTCTTCCAGAATGTCGACTTTTTGGCTTCATTTTTTGTTAGTCTTTGGGCGTAGGCATTTATTATGTTTAAAATATCACTTTCTGAAGTCAGCTTGACGCCCTTGATTCTGTCGTTAATCCGATTGACTTCGAATACCTTATTTTTGGTCGTTTCATTCAATACCACTCTAACTCCATTTCTTCTGTCCGACGTTCTTCAGTAAATGAGTTTATTGCTTAGTCCAGTTTCTTTGGATTTCTCACCTTTCCCTTTCGTCTTCTGAATGCTATCGATCTGAACTTTGTTTCTCTGAAGAACTTCCGCTAGCTCTGTGCCCTTAACCGTCATTGTTCCAATGTTCCATGTAGCTCTTCGCATTTTCTCGGTTCGTTTTCGGAATGTCAGTATCTCCGTTTGCTCATTTCTCACCGCTGCCGGGATTTGCTTCTGAGCGTCGCCTGAGAGGAATCCATTAAGATTCGTTCTAGAGGTAAGTTGACTCATCATGTTTGGCATTGGTTTTTAAGGCCGGCTGCCTGAATGACGTCAACCTGTTATTCTCAACCGAGCTTAAAACTGCTACCTCCCGTTAGTATTAGCAGCATGCTTGTCTGATGATGACATGAACTCGCCATGTCGCTGCCCTCTCACTGGGCCTGACTGTATATTATAGAGCCAATTTTGTCGAAAGTTGACTCACTGCACCCTCTTAGCACTGTCATCACATTGTCCAGAACTGCTTATTCATCAGATTTGCCACTTACTCGACAACAGTTCCACGTCTGATGGTTATTCAGCTATCCGTGACTTGTGGACACGTTTGGCGACATCTGACCTTGCCTCGACACTGCTATCGAACCGAACTGTGCTCATGACAGCAAGAATTTGAAAACAAATTTCCGTTTTCTTTCGTGTCATTTTGCTAACTTGCCAAGCAACTTAAAGTAGCATCTGGCTTAGCTTCATTTAACGACCTCTAAAGATCACAGAATATCCACAGTTGTGATCCAAAAGGATTCATTTTATTAAGCCGAGTTCATCACTCAAATTTTCACGTGTAAGAATCGACCACACCTCAATCTTAATCATATTTGATTTAAGTTCCTGTCTTTATTGCGTGCCGTTTGCTTTTACCTTCATGCCTGAATATCCTTTCATTTTCTTCGACATTCAAATATTTAAATTGACTATATTAATATTAGGGTTGTGATAGACTGAAGCAAACTTTCAAACTTAATGGCAACCACGAAGCTTGTTTTCGAGGGCAGTAGGGACTTAAAATCTTTCATTTTAATTGTATAGTGGATACCGATTCTAATCGAATTAGTAATCCATAGTTTAGATTGATTCATCTTCTTGTCATAAATGTAGAACATGGCACAGGTCGGTTCTGAGTGCATAATTTGCAAGCTTATTAACAAGGTAATGGATATCCATTATGACACATTTGGATCTTCAACTGACTCAGAAATGCAGCCATTTTCACCTAACGTCATTGTTCTTACCTCCGGCAGTACGAAGTGCCTAGAAACTTTTTCTTTTCATCGATTCGATGGAGACAGACATGGATTTTAGGCTAATTTTGAAAGGGTATTCGGTTCTTCTGCTAATTATTGTCGGTTAAACTGTCACTATGATATCGAAATTTGGAAACTTGTGTAATGTCGCTAAGATGCCTTGTGTCAAAAGTATGCATAAACTGTACACGTAAATTTCAATTGTATATCTCCCTTATCCTCATGTCCCAGAAACAAATTGTTGTTTTCGTGATTTTGTCAAGGCAAAAGGCCATGGCTGTGAGTTATTCGACACCCCCGCACCATTTTCAAAGGTGTACGATTGTTTTACTTAGTTTTACTTTAATAGACTTAAAATGCGGGTGCTACTGTTTCCAAAAGTTTGCAATATTTTTTTCTGTGTACTAAAAAAAGTAAGAATCGATTGTAAACATTTTAAAACACTGCTTTTGAACTTTCAAATGTCATATCTTATTTTAAATTAATACTCGAAGGCATTGCTACTAAACTTCGATCGATCAGTCCGGTCTCGTTATAGGGACCTCGTTCGTCATCTAAGTAAAGCGAACAAAAGTGCTATGTCTGCCAGGTTGTCTGGGAAGCGAAACGCCAGACTGTTAATTTAGGTACTCTATTCTTAACCATCATATCCAAGATGACAGTGGCAGCAACAACAGAAAGCTATTTTAGCGAGCAAAGCCCCCTGACTGTTGCTAAAAGTGATATAGCTTCTTAAGCGTCCGGCACGTTGAAGCTTGAACAGAAAGTTTTCAGCTCTGTAACATTTGGATCGAGCAAAAGAACCAAACAAGTCAGTCCAAACAGGTCATTGAGAGAATGCTGAGGTATACGTTTGTTACTTACTCTTCTAGTAAGAGGTAGTGACTGGGAAACAGAATTAGCTGCAATAACCTTTGAAACCAGGTTGAGACGTGAATGTCATCTTTTACGATCATGATGTCATTAATCATTTTAAATTATGCTGAAATATTATCATTGTAGATACTGAAAATCCGAATAAGTTTTATATTGGAACATAAAGTGAGTAAATGGAAGCTCGCAACCTACAGCATTTATTATCAGAGTTATGTTCAGGTAGGAAAAATTTCCATTGGCTATTCCACACTAAATTGAGTTGAAAGCTTACTGCTTAACGATGATTATCAACGAATTGTTTTTTCACAAAGATAAAATATAAAATCTTTTAAAGTTGATGTATAAATAAACAGCGATAGAAGAGCAAACATAAAACTGTGCACAAAATTGTGAGCAAACTCTGCCATAACTGCCCTAGTAGACAACTGTTTTATGATGTACAATAGAATCAGTCTGTTTTCAGTGTTTACATCTTGGCAAATGTTTCAAAACCACAAGTTCGAGCAGATGAGTGACCTGTCAGATCGGGCGTCCAACATTTACTACTTGACGGATGACTTGGAACAGCAATGGAATTTGGCTGCATGCTTGTTTAATGGAGGTGTGCGCTTTTCAGTTGCTGTCTTCGAACTTTTCAACCTACTGTTATCATTGCCTTACCCTGCTTATGTGATGATCTTGGTAATTAACATATCTAAGGATTATACGTCACATGACCAGACAAGCGGTTAAATGATATCAGTAATATTGTAACAGCATTTCCATGCATATGCTGCAGTTTTTTATAGCGACTATGCTACACAAAGCACTTTTTACCCATGAGTATTTGTCTGCTATCGCAGAATTTATCGACCAATTTTCTGGCGGGCAAAGTTTACTTTAGTGATCGCTTTGCGTGTTCTAGTCATCAACGAAGACTATCGCAAAATTTCACACGATAAACCAGACAAACATTTTGATAACGTATTGAAACATATGCCAAGAGGGCTAATAGGAATTTAATATGAGCGATGTTGAACATGATACTTAATCTGGTTTGTAACAGTGAGACACCGAGTTGAGAGGTGACGCCCAGCTATGTTTAAGCTAAGTATACACGTCTGGCCTCATCCTCATCAGTTGCCATGAAAGTTGGTTGTTAAGACCGAGGGAATGCAACTGATGATGAGGCAGAAATGATGTCTCTTCGAAAAACTGGCTTTATGGAGTGGCAAGCAGAATTCTGAACAAGGCAGTTTGAAATACCTTCAGCTACTAACCCTTCTTTGTCCAGATCCCCAGATAAACACTGCTATAGTTTTGACGTTTGACCAAAGTGCCATGGGAAAACCCTTTTGGCGGATTCCATGGAAGGCGGTCAAAAGCATACCAAGTAGAAGATGGTTTGAGTGCATTGACTAGCTATAATTTTCGCACTTTGGATTCGGTCGACGGTACTTTGCCGATTGGTTTAGGACTGAATGCATTAGCGACATCTGAAGCTGTTGCTACGGCCACCTGAAGGAAAATGCGTGTTCTGAAAATGTTTTGATGGGTATGAACGTTCTTTAAGTGACTTACACACATGTTTCCTTCTAAAATTAAGTTCTCGTTGTCTCTCGCCATTACAAAATATATATTTTCATAAGCTGTGTGAAAGATTATATCCAAAGATAACCATAAGAAACTGGCATTTGCCAAACTGGTATTTTTACGCATGAGCGAGATTGATAAGTTTCTAACTAATTACCGAGATTTCGTTTCATATGTTTCTTTCTCAGCTCGTTCTTAAATTGAGAATAGGCATATTGAAAATTTATGACAAATTAAGATTGTTTCAGTCTTTATATTTCATAAGTCGGTAAGTCTTTTAATTGTTTTTTTTTTGAATCTTAATCAACCATCATATTCGTCTACTTGACTTCAACTACTGTAGTATCCGTCCAAGTGAAGTAAAATTTTACTCCTTTCACCTGTAAGTGATTGACAAGGAACTATTTCCGAAAGGACAGTGACTGTTTTAGAGTTAATACGTCTGAATTTCTTTACTCTAAATTGATCACCTGTATTATGGAGCTGTGTCTGACTAATAATGGGTCAGCGGTGAGTCGCATTAATGAGTTAGATCACAGGTAAAATTTATTATAGCAAAATTATATGCACTGTGAATAATGGCGAAAATCGCAGCCAATGATGCTGGTATGAAATCATTTGGGAACGTCGTCAGTGTCATTTGTTTGACATCTGTTATTCTGTAACGCGTTTTGACCTGGATACCTGCAGTGGTCAGTGTCCAAGGTTATGACTGCAGGCTGAATCGACAACAGTGCTTAACCTAACCTTGACAGTTGGGAATCACTCAAAAAGAAATGAACAATACTTAGATAATTATCTTGGGTATTTCTTATGACGAAGAAGGGAGCTTGTTTATTATATTTATATCGTGAAGCTAATTAGAGTCATCAACAGTCGATGACTGCAATGGCATAAGACCGTAAAGCCTGATTTACCTAAAGTTATTTAAAACGTTGATTTCCTTGCAGTGCTTCATAACCACGTGATTTGTTGAAGATTTACGTCCGAAAAGTCAAAATATTTGTTCTTTATTTAGCTACCTTTTTTGGTGCCACGTTTTCTTTCAGCACTTTGTAACAATTGAATAGTGATTATTTAAACATTTTTCTTGATGAGAAAGATTTCTCTGGCGAACAAAATGATGCGAAATATATCTGGCAGTGCACACATTAAAATGCCGTCGAACCGAAACCTGCTTAAATGCCGCCTCCTCCCTCCCCAGGCAACTAGGAGCAGGGGGACCGCACAGCACGCCGTAAGTTCTATTTATGATTTATTTGCTTGTTCACCTGAAACACCGTAACATGTTGTTTCGTTCAACTGAATTCATAAAATAGCTTTAATTCACTTATCAGTGAAGTAAATGGATTTTTTGGAATGGTTAGAAAGATGTGCCCTGTATGCTTTTGTTGAGAATGTTATTATGTATAGATTTGTTCATGTATCTTAAGCCGCTGTTTCTTAGGACAGATAAACTTAGCTGTTTTAATTGATTTTCTAGTTATATTTTTGTTTTAGCTCATGAACTGGATGCAGTGGCAAAGCTATTGCGATCGCCGTACATCGTGAACGTGGTCACGACGGTGTTACAGGGAGAAAAATCATTTCTGGTGATGGAACTGTGCGACATGGACTTGGATGAGTTCCTGTCACTCAGTAACGGCGTGCTATGCGACAAAGATATCAACACACTGTCGCGCTGTCTGTGTTTGGCCAAGTCGTACCTGTTCCAGAACAAAGTCGTACATCGCGATATCAAACCGAGCAACATCCTCATCAACGTCAACCATGGCAGTCATTCACCAGCACTGTGTATTGGCATCGCCAAACTGTCAGACTTTGGCTGCAGTCACACGATGACAGATGACGAGGAGACTCCCACAATCTCGGGCACTTTCTACTACATGGCCCCTGAGGTGGCAGTCAATCTGGTAAATGTCCAGACTTATGACCATGCAGTTGACATGTGGTCGATCGGCGTGGTACTCTTCGAATGCCTCAGCGGCAAACTGCCGTTCGACGAAGCGGACATGTGTCGGCTATTTCTGAAGGCGCTCGGCAAGAACTATTGCTGCTACGAGGTTCCCCAGCTGACCGACCGAAAACACTTCTGGCAACCCATCCTTAACGAGCTTCTGCAGCTCAACCCGAAAAAGCGAGCCACTCCTGACCGTCTCGAGAACTACATATTCAGCCACGGACCTGAAATTGAAAAGCGATGACGCCTCGAGATTTACGGCTGAATCGCTGACTGATTGAGTCGTAACGGACTCGATTTATTTGATGCACTCCACAGGCGCGTTTACCACATGTGGCTAGGAATCAAGCTGTGATATCAATATTTTGAATGAATTAAACTGTTTTAAGGACAAATTCCTTATTTAGGTTATCAGGGAGGCATGGGAGGCAGTGAAAGCATTTTTATTTTAAGAAACTCGTCTTAATTGAAGACTTCTTTAATACAATTATTCTACCTTCTAACACTTGGGTGATAAATTTTATTCATCGTACGGCACATGCTGTGGATTCATAATTATACCCACTAAAAATAATCAGACGGATGATTCATTTGTATTTTAGTGAATCCGACCCGTTGTCAACAGAGAACATAAGCCAAATGCTTAAGTCTCATTTTCTTTTCAGTGTTTTAAATCATAAATCAAAATAGTGTTGTTCAAACAGTGAGTCTAAAATCATGAACTTTCCAAAGCAGTATGTATTCTTCCGAAGTAGTTTTCAAAAGAATTCAGGCCCTAGTTTTCGACTGAAGTTTACAGATATTAATTTATTTAGTTTTTTCTTTTAAGTATTTAAATAGTTCAGTTTAGTTCAGATTAGGAGTGCGTAATCACTGTTGATCTTTGAGCAACTTCCGCGCTGATCTTACATGTCATGGTGGCAAGCCACCGGTGTATAGAGTGAAACCTGTTGATGTCGTCCTCCGCTTTTTGGATGGCCAACTGTTTGAATGCGAAGGGAGTGACTTTTCTAGGTGCATTTTGAATGTTTTTTGTATAGCGCTGAAAGGCTTGCAAGTTGAATATAGTTCTTCCATGCAGGTGAATCACATCCACATTAAAGGATAAATTCAAACTGATTTCATGCATTATTAATTACCTGCGAAGATTTTGTTGATTCATTACTAAAAACGTAATTCTGTCATTTCTATAAATTAGAAAGATGCAAAACTCTCAGATGGCGCTAACTGTTTCAATTCCCTTACACAAGGAGGCTAGTTGATAGAACAGTACCGGTGTGAACTAAGGATACGTCAAAGACCTGTACACAATTCATTGCGATGCGCTGGAAGTCTGAAAAAACCTACATGACCTATGGCAAGACTACTCAAAGTAACGTGGCAGCTTAATAATGTATAAACGCAATAAGTAGATAGGTCATGTAATACAGTGGTAGCAAGGCTCCATGGTGCACCTCAATGCAAAGAAAAGTGTTGTTCTTAGTGAAACAGCACAACTCAAAATAAACTATTTGTTCCTGCCCCAAAATCATAAAATACATTAGCGCTATCGTTCCTGTTGTTCGGTCATCGTCATCTAAGGTTAACAGAGTTTAACGAGCAGAGTAACCAAAATTTAACACTTGACACGTTTCCAGCTGAGGCAGGGATCATACTCCACGTTCAAAGCAGGTCTATTTCAATGAAACGTTTGTTTTAGTTTTGTATTGTCCTCCAGAGCGTCTACAATCAGTGGACAGTTGCCATTCATCAGATCTCCATTTTGTTTCTGAATCATTTATCAAACCAGGGAAAGCGCCGGTATAAGTTTCTCAAACAATTTCCTCAAATCTAAGGCAAAGGCTAATGAGACTAATTTGTTATCAAAGTTTTAAATATAACTATCTTTTCTCAAGACAATATGTAAAACACTATTTGTGTTGCTATCTGGAGAAAAGCTGTTATGGACGAAATGCTGGAAACAAATTAATTACAAATGTTACGTGCACGGTTTGAGCAGGTGTTGGGAATGCCTTTAAAGAAGGTGAAACAACTACTTGCCCAACAGGCAGGCGGAAGACCTCTGGGATTGTAAAAAATAATCTGAGGCAAGTATATCGAAGGACTGTACCTATCCTCTGCTCTGCAGAAGCCGAAACGCTGGCACAGTACTGGAAACAGTCTGGAAAGAATAAGCGGTAATCGAAACTGGCTGGCGTAACATCTACTTTTGCCTTACACCAAAATCCATCGAATCGGAAGATCTAAGTATGTTTTACAGCCTTACCTCAACATGTTGTTGAAACCTGTTGGACCACTGAAATTGATTTTTCTGAAGGTAACACTATGTTAATGTTCACTTCATATTTAGCTGCCTAAGCGCCTGCGAAAAAAATCCTTAAGAGATCCGACTTTCTTAGTGACAGCACAAAAATCTAATTAATTTATAATTCTCTTCTTACTCTTTCTTAAGATATTTGCAACTCTAGTCTTGTGACAGTGAGCAGTAATTCGATTCGTACTGAAGCGTAATTTGTTTCCTAATAACCACTGTCTCATCTTTGTCGCCCGGAGCGGGCAGTGATCAAAGAAACGAATTGCTCAGCAGGGTGAAGTACGGCCAAACACATTCCCCTTTCGCCGTTACGGTAGTCGTGATCCCTGAAATGGTCGGTTAACGGTCCTTGGGTGAATTAGTATGAAATCTTGACTGGTGATCACATAAGCGCACGGTAGTTGGAAAGAGGCTGCCGCTGTTCAGCAGGCTCACAAATGTGCTCTCTTCCATGTTCAAGTCAATGGCGGCCTCCGATTCACAACAGGCATCTACTCACATTGTACGTAAAACAAAGTATATAAGGACAACCAGCCAGAGAAAATATTAACTCACACAGATGCACCAAGGGGGTTTTAGCATCTTTTAGCGTCTACCTCATCAACAGGTGGCCCGAAAACATTCTTCTGATTGAGATAACGGTCCGCAATTGACTATTGCATATAATTATGATTGGATGACTGACCGCCTGACTGTGAAATTGATCAGCGCGCTGTGGAAAGTTTAGTTTCCATCGACGCAACGATGCCACTTGCAGCACCACACTTTAGTGAGTCAACATTCAGTGAAAAATAACACGTTGAGGAGAAATACTGGAACGATGCAGCAACCGCCACTTAAAACAGTAGGCAAATGGGCCGATCGCACTTTTAACAAGTAAAAGAAATAATAAGCGTATAACGTTTACTCTTTAAAACGCCGATAAAATGTCATTTCAAAGCTTTTCGTCGCCTAGCACATAGTGAAGTACAGGCAACACGTTTGGTCATTAAAAATGAAGAGCAGTCAAAACAGAGATCAAACTACATGCAAAACTTTCTATGTGAAAAATTCAAAACAACTACAAAACGAGTTCAACATCGAGATCAAAAAACAGTCGATTGGTGCATCTTTCGCCACAGCCGAAAATAATATGCACATTTTTCATACAGTACATTAATTCTTTGGTAGTTAGGCACAACAAAATACTTTTACACTCGTACAGTGCCATTATTTGTCGGCGCCCTATCTGGTACTAAGAAGGACCTTGATAAAACGACTTTCTTTTGCAGCTTCCTTTCGCAATCACACTTGATGCCTTCAAAGCAGTACGCATCTTCCTAGAAGAAATTTTTATGCACAAATACACAGTGGTAGATCTTTCTGACATGGAGTCAATAGTCGAAGACATGGAGTCAATAGCCGAAAGAAATATGACTCTCTTCAGCAAGGTGGTATTCTTGAATAAACTGCTACTGAAAACGCGCATATAGTGCTCTCCAAAAGCAACGTTGAGATCAGCGAAACATCAGTTTTATAGGAAATTCGGAAACATAAGAAAATAGCATTCAGACTCCCATCTTCTTGAATTGTACCATGAACTCAATCATCTATGTCTTAACTTAAAATTAGGAAACGAATAACCTAAACAGACCAGGGAACAGCTATTACTGAATACACACGGCTATAAAGGGCTGATATGTATTGCGAAATTAAGATAATGGGACAGCGACATCCAATGTTAGTTGCTACAATCTAACTTATTTAAAATTTCTCAGCATAACGGAAGCTTACTTCTAAGCATCACGTCATAGAAAGATCTTGGCAGAGTGACAAAACAAGTCTGCCTCGTGTACCCAAAAGCTGGTGCGGCTGGTATCGACAAAACGACATCTTTCATCACAGCTAGGCAAACACTATGTTGACTTTAATGAGTGACTGAACCTTTATTACCATATCCTTATCAGTGAAATCTCATTAATGCCCTTTCCACTGAACGACAAGATTCAAGTTATCATTTTAAACTTTATTTTAACCAATTTGAAAGTGCATCAACAAAATTAACTTACTTTATAGCCAGGGCGACGAGTTCTGGTAACCAACCACGCACGGGTGAAGCGACGTCTGTAGCATTGCAGCAAAACCAAACACATGATACTAGCGGCAGCTATGACGACCAAAACAACAACAGTCAAGGTGATCTCATCACGTAAAAGACATTCATTGGCCGACTGTATGTTCTTTCCGCTGACTGCAGTCTAAAACCCAAAACAAAGTGTCTTGCTCTACAAAAACTTATCACAAAACCTTTTTTCAAAACAACAGAACATAGTCTTCA